TGTTTTATTTTTAGTTTTTATTTTTCTTTTTATTTTCTATTTTCTCTGCTTTTGTTATTGCTCCATGTATTTCTGACTTGGATGTAGACCATTGACTTTCTTAGCCCTAGCTGGGCCTTATATTCACAGGTCGGGGGTGTAGCCTCAACCCCCCATCCCAATCTGGGATGTTTATATAAAAAAAACTCTAATTTAAAGCTATGAGGGAGACTATGAATCAGTTGTTGAGCCAAGAAATTCGACAAGGTGATAGCTGTGAGGGATTTGCCCGATGAGGTTTCACCACCACCGGAATCTCAGCCATTGTCTAAAGGTAATGTGAGTCATCGGGTGGGGGGACTCTGGTTGCCGCTGCGTATCTCGTTTTGGCGATTGGGGTTGAGGGCCCGTGCCTCTCTCACCTTCTCTTGTTCGGCTAGTGGTGTTAGGCGACGGGGGATTGGGTCCTATCGAACTTGGCTAGTGGTGTTAGACGAGGTTGGTAGTGGCTGGCGTGGGGGTTGGTTGGGGCTTTCTCGGTTAGGGATGGGTTGATTCGAGATTGCCTGGAGGGTTGAGTTCACCTGTTGTATAGGCGTTCGTGCAGTTTCGGTAGCGGTTCTCGGGCTCGAGGTTTTCTTCGTGTCGGTCGGTCACTTTCGGTTGAGCTTCGTTGGATTCGCAGGGGAAGGGGCCCGTTTTCATTTTTTTTTTGGTGTTTATGTTTCAGGTTTTATTTTTGTGTTTATGTTTGGTGTTGTTTCTTAGTGCTTTGTTTATTGTTTGGTTGTTTTAATTCAGTATTGGTGTTGTTAGTGTTTGTTTGTGTTGTTGTATTTTAGGTTTGAGCTGTTTGGCTCCAGTTGGCCTGAGTGTACCTTAATTCTCCTGTTGGGAGCTCACTCGGGCATTCTCCTGTTGGGAGTTTTTTTATTGGTTTGTGGAGTGATTTGTGGTTGTTTAGTGTTTTGATGTAGTTGTTATTCTAGTTTTGCTAGTAGTGTTTCATCTAGGTTGCATCGGTGAGGTTGTAACCTCTCATTCCCGGGTTCCGGGCCTATCTTTTGTACATTGCCTTTTTGCTTTTTTAATGTAATTGTTTATGTCGTTTGAAAAAAAAAAAAAAAAAA